CCTGCACACGACCTAGAAGTGAAGTAACACTAGCGTGGGCAGATACCCTGCTGAGACACAAAACTGGTCATCGTGATGAGCGGAGGACACACCTGCCCCACCCCCACAGCCTGCCTGCTACATCAGGGGTCCCCAACTCTGGGCCCCAGACCGGTACCGATCTGTGGCCTGTTAGGAACCGGGCCGCACAGCAGGAGGGGGCGGCGAGCAGGGGCAGCTTCATCTGCATGTGCAGCTGCTGCCCAGCACCAGCGTCACCCCTTCAGCTCCCCCTTAGATCAAGCATTAGATGCTCGTGGGAGCGCCGCTCCCTGGTGCCGAAAAGGTCGGGGCCCTGTGTTACATTTAACTCTGCCTCATGACGCTAATGCCCCTTAGCGCCCATGACTGCAGATGGCAGTCTCCATGTCCCTTCCAGGGAATTCAGAATATTTAAAGAAATAAAATGGCTTTAGCAGTTGATATATCTGTTTAAAAATGCTATTTATTTAAGAATTGTTGGCGTAACTGACAAAGGTGTGTGCTTTGTTTTCACTGCAGACTATAAGAGATGTGCCAGGCTTTTGACCCGGCTGGCAGTGAGTCCAGTATGCATGGAGGGATAAGGTAAGCTGACCGTGGCATCGCGTTGGCACACACCGGACACGACCTGACTTTGATCAAGGCTGGCATAACCCTCAAAGTGTCTCCAAATATTGGCCATCAGTGAAAGGTGCCCCACGAGCCTGCACGCAGCACCTGGGGGGCTGCTGCGAGGTACCGGCATGGCTGCGTGGTTGGCAGAGTCTGTCTGAAACACGGCCATTAGCTCCCGATTTCAGCACGACTTAGTGCATAAATTAGGTACCTGGCTAAAATTATGCCTATTGCCTTTCAGACTTTTGGTCACTAGCACTCATAAATGAGCATGACTAACTGTATCCCTGCAAATTTATGGACTTACCTGGCAAATGTTTGAGTTGCATTTTATCATCGTGACAATAAGCTTTAAAGAATAGGTATTCTCTTTAAATGTTTCTATGTTATTTTTTCCACAGCCTCTAAGGGTAAAATTATAAATGCACATTAAGAATTTATAATCTAAACTTTTCACCTTGGCCTCTCGAGGGCTGATCTGTAACACAGAACTCCAGTTATCACTCACGCAGTCTAGGGATGAACTGAGTTTTATTTTTCTAACAGAATGCCATAGATTTGTCGCAAAAGTATAATTTCGTAATTTTATACTTACCGTGTGTCGTGTGTGTGCCAGGCATAGCCAGATGCCAAGTCTGTCCCCACTAATAAGACATTAGCTGTGGTCTCAGATGGCTGTCTCGGAAAACGTAGCGGCTCTCCGGGAACATGCATAAAAAGGGGACATTTTATTTTACCTTTCTAGTGGTCACTCTGTCTCACGGAAGTGGAGGAGGGAGCAGTGACCCTCCCCAGGACATGCTTGCTCTGCAAAGGACAGTGCTGACCAATGTCCAGGCAGGTGCAGAGGGAGCTGAGCCCCCCTGCCCCTCCCCCAGGGACTGGACAGGGCTCTGAGAGCGGAGGTGACATCACACTGTCCTGAGGACCCATGAGAGGAACCGCACACGGGTTCAGTGGCGTGAGCGGTTAGCAGAGGGTGCAGCACTGTCTTCGGGGGCTCTGAAAGCGTGGCTTCCGAGCCGCTGTGCGTGCGCTGCCCCTGCCGTGGCTGCGCATCTGCCGTCCGTCGTTCTTCCTGCCCACGCGGCAGCGAATACTTTTTTTAAAGTGTTGAATGGGTCCGTGGCCACCTCCCAAGGTGATTCAGTGCTAGGGAGATGAGGACACTTTTTGATAAAGCATTGCTTTATAGTTAGAGCGCTGGTTCCCAGAGGTGGGCCAGGCGCGCCCAGGGAAGACAGTCCCCACCTCCACGCCAGCGGGAGACGAGGGCGCTGCCTCCACTCCCGTGGAAGCGCGAGGGTGTGGGGGCTCACTCCCCAGCTCCCGTGGCGCCCGAGTGTCTACTCCCAGAAGGCCGTCATATTCAAGTCACACTCGTCACAGCTTCGGTAACTGTTCATTTTGGCCAAGAAAGGGTTAAAGTTTAAAACATATTCCTAACAACTTCATAACTTTTTTTAAAGATTAATTTCTTCTAATTCCATAAGTTTTAAATTGCAAGCAGACTCTCGACTGGTCACAACCACATAGTTGGAGGGTTTCTGTCCCCAGCAGGGTGGGTTAGGCCACTAGTGAGACTCTGGAGGGCAGAGCACACAGTGCTGACACCACAGGCTCCCTTAGATGGCTGTGCCCCACATCAACCCCTTTCCTCTGCTGTCTGCACATGAAGAAGGCAAGACTGCAGAGACCCCTCTCCAAGGCCAGACCGTAGCCTGTCTCCCTAAGGCTGAGCCCTAGAACACGAGCTCTGAGGTCTGAGCACAGGCAGCGACCTCCGCAGACCTTTGCCTCCTTCCTGTGGCTGAGTGATGTCCTCAGACCTAGGAGAAACGATGTGCTCCCAGCTACTGTCCCTTGTCTCACACCCACTGTGTTACCTGGACTTGCAGCTCAGCCTAAGGACCTGCATGCTGGAATGTTCTTGGGGTCAGGTACCCAGCTGAGTCTGCAAAACATGGCCTAATCTTAGTGACCTTGAAGTTTGTTAGTTTTAAAATTAACAAATAGCCTACCAATGGTTCAGGTAGACTACAAAGTTTTAGAAAAGTGTTTATTCATCAGTCCTACAGACCCTGTTGACACGGAGGCATCAGGCCTGCCAGCTTTCCCAGAGTCGCCACCAGTTGTAAATCCACACAGAGTTGCTGAAGACGTTAACAGCGTGCAGTGAGACCACATGCCTGTCCTCAGGCCTGAGCGCGCTCTGTGCTTCTGGTGTTTTCCATGCCATTAGCACAGCAGGTACATGACCCTTGTAGAACTGAGTCATTTTTCACAATGAGATACTACACTTTTGGGACAGAAATACACATGCTCGCTGAGATTCCTGATGTTTATTTAACACATCATGTTACATAACTTGACGTGTACGTCTGCTAGGGTTGGCGACAGAACGCGAGACCTGTGTGGAGCCTGTGTGTTTGTTCTCAGCAGTGAGGGGGCTGCGAGGGAACCACGAGGGAACCACGAGGGAACCACGAGAAGTGCCTTGGAAACCAACAGGGACCAGAACCCAGCACCTTCATCGACCCGCTCCCACCCCGGACCCCTGGGAACAAGAGATGTATTTTTGCAGACTCCTCTGTAATTCCTTGAGTTTTATATGTTGTTGACACTGCTGTGGAGACATACCCTGTAGGCCGTGCACCTGACAGTAAGCCTGCCACTCGTTACTGCAGAGAACAGCAGAGGATGCTTGTGTCTGACGGGCAGCGCTACAGAATGACAGGCCGGCATCTCTCTCCCGATGAGGTGAAGTCGCGAAGAATATTTCTTTAGAAACATAAGCAGATTTGAAACTATATTTTCATATAGCATATAGTATGATTTAATATTTTTATTACTTTTACAATTAAATTCCCAGAGTATTATTTGGAACTGCATGAAAAATTTCAAAAGAAAAAAGAAAAAAAAAAGGATTAACTTCAGCTGCTTTTGGAGACAGTGGCGTGTAAATCTGTGAACACATCCAAGCTAGTTTCAGTTGTACTTTGTATAATAAATGTAAAATAGTATCCAGACATTATGGAATATGTAAATATTGTAAATAAAACACAATAAAGTGTTTATTATAATGAAATCTTCAGTGACTTTTTATTTTCTAACACGTTCATCACTGGCAATTCACCATTTAAAAATCTAGAAAGAGATCATAATGCTGGCAGAATGTCAGAGAATAGAAAAGGTATAAACAAACAAATCAGGAAGGCTGTGAATTCTTGTAATCAACGATGAAAGGAGAGGTGACCACATACTGGTGACCTCATTTCTTCAGAACCTAATTTAGTAACGGGTATTTCAAATAAGTTTGCATCTGTATTTCCTGTACGACTCTGTAATAACAAAAACACTAAACTAAGAACCACCTTAAGACTTCGAAGCAGCCCCACATTTTACAGGTACATACATTTTGAACAAATTTGACAGGATCCAACTTAAAGAGACAAATGAATTCAGCAGTGGGTTTCTTTGCTCCCATGACCGCTGGTCTGGGTGTAGCCACAATGACAAAGTCAAGCCCTAGGATTAGAAGATCTGGATTTGATATATACGTAAACATTGAAGAAAACAAAGCTATAGGGACCCATTTATGAACACGAAGGAACAGCAAAGAGTAAGACACTTCTCCACTTCGGGCTTACTAAGCCATTATTGAACAATTAGGTTGGGTATAAGTTTTGAAGTGCTCTTATTAACCCTGTGTTCTAACTGTGGTTAGTTATGTAACTTTTTCCCCCCGAATTCATTACTTTTTAGAGATACCGTTATGATTTTATAAACCTATTTAACCTCTCGTTTCCTATGTGTCCTACAACCTCAAATTTCATAGGGAGCTGGACACGCATTTAGCTGACCGTCTCCTGACACACCCTCCCCAGTCTTGCTGCCTCCACTGTCCTGGAGCAGTGGTGGCACGTGTGATTCAGGACTGAATGCCCCCACCTGTAACCCTCATGACACTAAGGACAGGAAGCCCCAACACCCTGGCAGGCAGCTGTCCTCTGGTCCACCCAGACTCGGGATGAGGACTGACCTGTGACCAAGGGCTCTCCAGGATTTCGAGTCAGAAGCCATGAATGGGGGGAAGACAAGGAAACGCACTCAGAAACAAGACACGCAGGTGGCCAAGCCCCCAGGATGAGACTGCACACCCGCTGACGACAGGGTCAGGCAAGGGCACTCAAGTTGCAGGGCCTCGAAACTCCTTCATAAATAGACATTACTTTTATCATTTTACATGTTAAACTGTAGATAAATGTGCACATACAACATCACAGGTCATTTGAAAGGGATAATAAAGCCTTGTTTTCTAATTTTGCACTTGCAAATATAAAAGCAGACAACAGACTAACATCTTAGTTGTATTTTTATAATTCTTCCAGTTTATTTTGAAAAGTCTTTTCTGACATACAGCCATATGAATTTTAGTTATCTCAAAGTACATAGAAATCAGCTATATTTGCCTATAAATTAAACATTGACAAAAGAATACTTGTTACCATATTAATATTTAAGTATTCTAACATAAAAGAATTTTTCCCAACTTTTTAATCATTTTTCTCACCTAAGCTAATTTACGTTTGACATTTGGGTTGTATATGTATCTAAAAGCAGACATGTTCCTCAAACCAAGCCTAATACAGACCAGCATACACGTGTCCTTCTTTCCAGATATAATTAAACTTCCAGAGGCAAAGTGGCTCATATGGGAGCACATAAGATGACCTCCTCATGAAATAAAACAGAAGTATTAAAGGCGCTAAGAATTCCATAAATAAATCTCTTTCCTAAGTTGTAAACATGCAGGTGTGCGCGAGTGCGCGTGTCTAGGCTGTGAGCTCTGTGGACGGAGGTCCTGGTGCACAGAGGTGGTGCTGGGACAGAAGGTGTCCGTCTGTCGCCCACGAAGGTGGGCAGGAGGTAGAGCTGATCACTCACACACCTCACAAGTCAGCCTGGGCCTTAGAGCCGTTTGCCTGCGCTGCGTTCTATCTGGTGGTTGCACGAGTTGCGTTTGTAACTGGAGTAAAGTGGGCGTTCCCCTAAGCTAAAAATACTTCACGTGAATAAACTGAATCAGATATTTATTCTTTCGCCAAACACGACAGCTGCTTTCCATGCAGAATTATTTTAAATACAAGAAACGGTAGGTCGGCCGAAGTGACCGCACGGGCCTCGAGCGGCTCCACCTCGACGCGGGACGGGAGCCGCGTCTAGCGGGCCTTGTCCAGGAAGGCTCTGCAGCACCGCACGCACTGCTGGTAGACGGTCTCGAAGTCGGAGTCGTTGCCCTGGGGGAGGGAAGGGGACAGCAGCGCCGCGTGACCGGGGCACGCTCTGGCGGGCGGGGGCCCGGAGCCGCGCACGGGGCGGTACTCACGTAATACGGGTCCTCGATGATCAGCTGTTTTTCCGGATCGTAGCTCCCGAGCAGCTCGATCTTGGCTTTGCTGTTTTTAACTTGATTACTCTTTCTGGTCAAGTCTCTGCAAAGTCGAGACGGGGCTGTTTCCACGCGCTCGGCCCGCGTGCGGCGCCCACGGCCCCGCGCGTCTGGCTTCCGGCT